AGCATCGCTCAGCCGCTCCCCGTCCCCAGTGGCGTGGGCTTGCCCCCACGGGCCGACTGGCCGAGACCACGTCGCGATGTGTCTGCGGCCTGGGCGGTTGGTTTTTCCTCCTCCTCCTCCTCCTCCTCCTCCTTCTCCTCCTCCTCCTCCTCCTCCTCCTCCTCCTCCTCCTCCTCCTCCTCCTGCGGCCCATTCCCCGTCCCTCCAAGCAGCTGGTTTTCGGCCCCGCCCGCCCGAACAGTCGTGGCGACCTCTTTCAGTGATGCCGCGTCCGCCCCCGAGTGTGGACTCCGCATGGCGGCTCTCAGGGAACGGACTCGCCTGAGGCAGCTGAAGGATGCGGGGGCCCAGTGGGGGTAGGGGTGCTCTGCCGCGGGCTCAGGACGGAGTGTTGGGAGCTCGGGAGCTCCGTCCCTGAGTAACAAATCCCACTCAGATGGGCACCCCTCCCTGTTTTGTTTCACGGACGTCTGCACGGGGGGGGGGGGGGAAACCTTGGGTGGGGATGCCTGCTGTTCTCCTCCAGCTTCGCGGGACCTATCGCCACCCGGGGGCTGAGAAGCCATGGCCCCAGTGGGGATGGGGATCGGTGAGGCGATGCTGAAAGGGGAAACGGGTCCTGGACTCCAGGGCCTTTCTCCCCGGGATCAGCTCCTCATGCTGGGACGCTCTTGTTGCGATCCCGGGGCAGGGCCGGGATCCGAAACAGTGTGAGAACTTCCAGGATCCGCTTCCCTCAGATGGCGAGTAGAGGGTAGAGAGCAAAGAGGCGGGGGGGGCGGGTGCGGGTATGCATGCAGTGAAAGCAGACTTTGACACTGACGCGGCGCGAGCCGCGGGCGCTGCGCCAACGATGAGGCTCCCTGGCTGCCCAGGAGAGAAATCACCGCCAGGCCCGACTGAACAAAGCAAATGCCCGCGCATGCCCCTGGCCTGAGCATCGCTCATCCGATCCCTATCTCCACCAGCCCACCGGCGTGGCTTGGGCCCCACTGGCCGATCATACCCCCCCAGATGGGGATATAGGCTGCTCCCTGCGGGTTTCGCGTGGCCCGTCCCCACCTGGGAGTGTGGACTGGTGGGTCTCTCATTGGGGGGCGGAAAGATACGGATACGTGTTGTCCCCGGACCTCTCTTGGGGTGCGTTCTGACCAGAATTTCGAGGCAAATCCAGCGGTGACAGCGAGGATTCCCCAGGAGGACCAGGAAAGGCCGAAAACGAAGGGGGACAACACGTATCCGTATCTTTTTCTCCCCCGATCTGAGGTGCCATGGCCCAGTGGGGACAGGGACAGGTGAGACACTGCGGATCACCCGGGCGCGAAAAAGCCCACGCACGCCCCTGGCACCGCGCCCGCCGCAGGCCGCACGCGGCCGCCGCAGGCCGCCGAGAGCGCTCAGTCTTGCAGGCCGCCGGGCGCGGCCGGCCTGGCGGCGCCGGCGGCGGACGCGGGCGAGGTCAGGGGGCCGCGTGCGAACCCTACTCCAGATTTCGTCATAAAGGGAGGGGGGTCTCATTTCGGGGGGGGGTCTCTTCCAGGCTATCTTGGAGGGCCTGGGGGGGTCTGGGGACGACGTTTTGGAGGGTTCTCCCGCGGGGGAGGTCTGAAATGGCTTGTCTTGGAGGGTCCAGACCCCCTCCCTTTTATTACGAAATCTGGATGGCGATTAATAAAAAAATGGGGGGGGAATGATTAGAAAAATAGTTTCCCACACCGGGGGGGACCGCTCAGAAGCAGGGCTCGCCTGTGCGGTGTTTCGTCACCGGGGGGGGGCGCGCGCGCCCGAGGACGGCGGGGAGGGGACGATTAAAAAAATAGTTTCCCAGCCCGGGGCCGGTTTGATCTAATCATCATCCCGGGCGCCGCCGCGTGAACACGACCCCTGGTCATGTTTTAATATTGGCATCCTCCATTACCCCTGCCCCCCACGATTTCTGGGGGGGAGGGTGGGGTTCCTCTCGCTCGAGAGGTCCCGAGCGAAGCGAACCCCACCCCCCCCCCACCTCGGAAGTCGCGGGGGGCAGGGGCGGGGCTCGCATGTGGCCCCCTGGCTGAGGCGGCCCGAACGTCGGGGGCCGCGGGGCCGACGAAGGACACCGCCCGGCTGTACGCGGAGGGGGGCCCGCGGCAGGCGGCGGTCAGGGGCGTGACGCGGAAGCGGAGGCCGACGCCCGCGGGCAGGCCCCGGAGGGTCGCCTGCAGCGCCTCGGCGGGCAGGGGCCTCGCGGCGCCGGGGTCCGCGACCACCCGCTCCGTGCCCGCGTCGAAGTGCAGGGGCGCCGTTCCGTCGTGGACCTCTCGGGGAGGCGTACAAGGCAGTTTTAATACACGTAATACATGGTTATATATATATATATATAAAGAGAGATTTTAATGCATGATTACTTCATTGATAAATTCATGCATGAACTCGTCGTTGCTTTTAAAACTAAATCCCTGCATTTTTAATACATGGTCCGCACGCGGAGCATGTGTTAAAAACGGCACTGTACGGTGGGCGCGTTGGTTCAGGAATGCGCCCAGGATGCTGAGCAGGCCCTGGAGGCTTCCGTATGTCTGATGAGGGCGGCGGTGATATCCATGGCCAGGCCTCGACTGGAGTTGCACCGACCTCCAGACTCTGGATTCCTCATCTAAGGGTTCCTTATCCAATGCCCGCACCGTAAGACTCTGGTCAGGGGGATAATAGAGGGACTCGGGTTGGCCCGACGGGGCCGCCGTGAAGATGGCGAGACCCAGTCTGGTCTGAAATCTGACGCGACCTCCCGCGGCAGACATCCCACGAAGACTGGACCGTCAGAATCCACGACGCGGCGTCGGCAAACCCGAGTTCCGACCCACTCGAGTCTGACGTTGCCCCGAACCTCGAGCGCATAGCCCGTCAGATGCGCTGCGTGACGGGCGGCCGCCCACGCGACGCGGACGCCGACGCCCGGCACGTGCTCTGCCAGCGGTGGTCCGGGCACCTCGGGCAGCACCGGCGGGCCGTCAGCTACGGCTGCCGCGGCACGATCCGCTCCCGCCAGGTGTGCTTCCACTGACCGGTCGTCTCCCAGAGGCTCGTGCCAACGCTCACCTGGCAGGACCTGAGAGAGGACAGGCCCGTGAGCCACGGCCCTCGGAGCGGCGCCCGGTCTGCAGGCCCTGGCCGCGCGCCTCGGAGCCACGGCGGGCCTGTGGGCCACGACCGCGCGCTGCTGGGCCACGGCTGGCACCAGCCCCGTGAAGGGGTCGTCCTCTGCTGCCTCGGCTGGCGGCGCCTCCGCCGCCGCTGCCTCCACCGGCAGCAGCGGCGGCGGAAAGGGCGGAGGCCGCGGCGGCGGCGGCCCGCGCGGCTGCCTGGGCGGCGGGCCGGCAAGCAGGCGGGAGGGCCCTGGGGCCTGCCTCTTGGTCTGGCCCCTGCCAATCCAGCACACCAGCGCCAGCACCAGCGGGATGGACATGCCGATGACCCCCGCGAGCAGGGCGCCGAGGGCGCTGCCCTGCGCGAGCTGCGGGCTCGACGTCGATGAGGCTGGCACCACGCTGCTGGTGGACAAGGTGCTGGACATAGTGCGAGACGCCGATACAGTGGTCGTGAGGGTGTTGGTGGCTTGCACGGTCGTCGTGCCTGACGTGGAGGTCGCGGTGGCTGTCAAGGTGGTGGACATGGTGCCCGAAGTGGTTGCAGTGGTGGACATGGTGCCTGAGTTCCACGTGCTGGTGGAGGCCGAGATCGTCACTGTCGCCGTGGTGGTGGAGGCCGAGATCGTAGTAGTTACCGTGGCGGCCGTGACAGCCGCCGTGGTGGTGGAGGCCGAGATCGTAGTAATTACTGTGGTGGTCGAAGCAGTCGCCGTGATGGTGGACATGGTGCCTGAGGTCACCGTGGTGTTGAAGATCAACGTCAGGGTTGTTGCCGTAATGGCGGACGTGGTGGTGGACAGATTGGCTGAGGTCGCGGTTGCTGTAGTGCGAGATGTCGTGGTCACTGCACTCGTCGTAGTCTCCGTCGTGTTCCAGGTGCGCACACAAGTGCACCTGCAGACTTCCATCGAGTAGCTCAGGCTGCAGTCCGCGTACTCGGGGCACCAATCTGGCTCACACGTTGTGCTGGACGTAGTCCCTGATGAGACCGACGTCAATGAGGTCGCAGTCAATGAGATCGACGTCAGAGAGGTCACCGTCATTGAGACTGTCGTCGTTGACGACAACGTTGTGTTCGACGTAGCTGTTGTTGAGACCGACGTCAACGAGGTAACCGTCATCGTTAAAGTTGTGGTCGAGACAGAGGTCGAAGTTGAGCCAGTTGTCATCGACAACGTTGTCATGCTGGTCGACGTGGTTGTTGTTGTCATCGTCGACGTGGCGCAAGTGCACGGGCACTTGAGCATCGCACTCACGGTTTTACAGTTTGCTGCTAAAGCGCACCAGAAGGGCTCGCAAGTTGTAGTGCTGGACGAAGTTGTGGTGCTTGTAGGAAAAGTTGTGATGGTTGTAGAAGATGTAGTGCTTGTTGTGGCGCTTGTTGTGTCAGTTGTTGAGGCGATTGTAGAAGTTGTGGTCGTAGTCGTCGCAGTGGTTGTGGTGGACACGGTGCCCGACGACGCAGTCTCGGTCGAGGTACTCACGCAAGTGCACACGCAAGCTACCACAGAAAAGCTGAAGCTACAGTCCGCGTACTGGCACCAATCTGGCTCACACGTAGTGGTCGTGGTGGACACGGTGCCCGACGTCAACGAGGTAACCGTCATTGTGAACGTCGTGTCCGAGACAGAGGTCAAAGTTGAGCCAGTTGTCATCGACAACGTTGTCATGCTGGTCGACGTGGTTGCTGTTGTCATTGTCGAGGTGGCGCACGTACACGGGCACTTGAGCATCGCACTCGCGGTTTTACAGTTTGTTAGTACAGCGCACCAGAAGGGCTCGCAAGTTGTGGTGCTGGAAGAAGTTGTGGCGCTTGTAGAAAAAGTTGTGGTGCTTGTAAAAGATGTCGTGCTTGTTGTGGTTCTTGTTGTATCAGTTGTTATGGTGCTTGTAGAAGTTTCGGTGCTTGTATCAGTTGATGTCAACGAACTCACAGTGGTGAACGACGTAGTCAAAGACGAAACCGTAGTCGTCGCAGTGGTTGTGCTGGACAATGTGCCCGACGATGCAGTCTCGGTCTGGGTACTCACGCAAGTGCACACGCAAGCTACCACAGAAAAGCTGAAGCTACAGTCCGCGTACTGGCACCAGTCTGGCTCACACGTAGTGGTCGTGGTGGACACGGTGCCCGACGTCAACGAAGTAATCGTCATTGTGAACGTCGTGTCCGAGACAGAGGTCAAAGTTGAGCCAGTTGTCATCGACAACGTTGTCATGCTGGTCGACGTGGTTGCTGTTGTCATTGTCGACGTGGCGCACGTACACGGGCACTTGAGCATCGCACTCGTTGTTTTACAGTTTGCCGCTAAAGCGCACCAGAAGGGCTCGCAAGCTGTGGTGCTGGAAGAAGTTGTGGCGCTTGTAGAAAAAGTTGTGATGCTTGTAAAAGATGTCGTGCTTGTTGTGGTTCTTGTTGTATCAGTTGTTATGGTGCTTGTAGAAGTTTCGGTGCTTGTACCAGTTGTCAACGAACTCACAGTGGTGAACGACGTAGTCAAAGACGATACCGTAGACGTCGCAGTGCTCGTGGTGGACACGGTGCCCGATGATGCAGTCTCGGTCGAGGTACTCACGCAAGTGCATACGCAAGCTATCACAGAAAAGCTGAAGCTACAGTCCGCGTGCTGGCACCAGTCTGGCTCACACGTGGTGGTCGTGGTGGACACGGTGCCCGACGTCAACGAGGTAATCGTCATTGTGAACGTCGTGTCCGAGACCGAGGTCAAAGTTGAGCCAGTTGTCATCGACAACGTTGTCATGCTGGTCGACGTGGTTGCTGTTGTCATTGTTGACGTGGCGCACGTACACGGGCACTTGAGCATCGCACTCGCGGTTTTACAGTTTGCCGCTAAAGCGCACCAGAAGGGCTCGCAAGCTGTGGTGCTGGAAGAAGTTGTGGCGCTTGTAGTAAAAGTTGTGATGCTTGTAAAAGATGTCGTGCTTGTTGTGGTTTTTGTTGTATCAGTTGTTATGGTGCTTGTAGAAGTTTCGGTGCTTGTATCAGTTGATGTCAACGAACTCACAGTGGTGAACGACGTAGTCAAAGACGATACCGTAGACGTCGCAGTGCTCGTGGTGGACACGGTGCCCGATGATGCAGTATCGGTCGAGGTACTCACGCAAGTGCATACGCAAGCTACCACCGAAAAGCTGAAGCTACAGTCCGCGTACCGGCACCAATCTGGCTCACACGTGGTGGTCGTGGTGGACACGGTGCCCGACGTTGCAGTCTCGGTCGAGGTACTCACGCAAGTGCACACGCAAGCGACCACCGAAACGCTGAAGCTACAGTCCGCGTACTGGCACCAGTCTGGCTCACAAGTGGTGGTTGACACCAAGGTTGTCGCAGTGGCTGTGGTTATTGTAGAAGTTGTGGTGTTTGTTGCGACGCTTGTTGTATCAGTTGTAGTGGTGCCTGTAGAAGTTGTGGTGCTTGTGCCAGTTGATGTCAAACAGCTCACAGTGGTGAACGATGTAGTCAAAGACGATACCGTAGTCGTCGCAGTGGTCGTGGTGGACACGGTGCCCGACGTTGCAGTCTCGGTCGAGGTACTCACGCAAGTGCACGCGCAAGCTACCACCGAAAAGCTGAAGCTACAGTCCGCGTACTGGCACCAAGCTGGCTCACAAGTGGTGGTCGTGGTAGACACGGTGCCCGACGTTGCAGTCTCGGTCGAGGTACTCACGCAAGTGCACACGCAAGCTACCACCGAAAAGCTGAAGCTACAGTCCGCGTACTGGCACCAGTCTGGCTCACAAGTGGTGGTCGTGGTGGACACGGTGCCCGACGTCAACGAGGTAACCGTCATCGTGAACGTTGTGGCCGAGACAGAGGTCGAAGTTGAGCCAGTTGGCATCGACAACGTTGTCATGCCGGTCGACGTGGCTGTTGTTGTCGTTGTCGACGTGGCGCAGGTGCACATGCAGAATTCCACCGAGAAGCTGCGGGTGCAATCCGCGTACTGGCACCAGTCTGGCTCACAGGTGGTGGTGGACGTAGTCGCCGTCCAGGTCGCTGTCGACGTGGCGCACGTGCACGGGCACACGCTCGAGGCCACGGCGCAGTCAGCGGCCGACGGGCACCAGGCGGGCTCGCAGGCTGCGGCCCCGGCGCAGCAGTCGGGGCGCCCCGCGGCCGCCGAGGGGTCGGCGCAGTCCAGCCGCCCGCAGGGCGCCGGCGGGGGGGGCGCCGAGAGCCCCCTGGGCGCCGAGGCGGCGCAGAGCGCCCCGAGGAGCGCCCGCGGCCTCGCCGCCCGCCGCCGGGCGGCGCACGGCGGCCGCGCGCCGCCGGCCCGGGGCGGGCCCGGGCGGCCCATTGCTACGGCATGCCCCGGGGCGCGGCCGGCGGGGGCCGGGCCGCCCGGGGCGCGCAGCGCCCGGGCCTGGCCCGCTGCCGCGCCGCCCCGCCGCCCGCGCCCGGGGCCCGAGCCGGCACGGCTGCGGGCCCCCGCCCGTCCGCCCGTGCCTCTCGCCAGGGAGGCGTGGAGGGGGCGCTCGCCTGCCACTGCAGGCAGTAGAGGGGAGCAAAAAGTGGCATAAGCATGAAAACTCGGAGGTCCGCGCGGACTTCTCGGATTTCGTGGCGCGCTCCGCGCCCAGGGAGGGGGGTCCAGCGCCGATCCGAGAAATCCGCGCGGACTTCCGAGTTTTTATGTTTATGCCACCTTTTGTCTGGCCATCGCTCGGGCGTCCATTCCCCGTGTTTTTTTTGGGGGGGGGTCGCGCGTGGCTTTTTCGCCAAAGGATCAAGGATGCTCCTCGATGGTCCTCGCCGAGGAAAAAAACGCACACGTCCGAGCGATGCCAGGTTGTCCCCCTATATTAGGCAAAGGAGCGGCCCCGACGCGGGCAGAACGGTGGCCTCTGGTGCCGGCGCCGCTGCCCGGGGGTGCGACGTCGCAGCGGCCTGCGTGCTCGGCCCCCGCGCGCCCTTAGGGTCTCTGCGTCGCGTCTCCGGCCGTGGCGGCGGAGGGGGCCTTCGGCCACCGCTCGGACGTCCATTCCCTGTGTTTTTTGTCGGTTTCGTGCGTGGCTTCTGCGCCAAAGGATCAAGGCTGCTCCTCGATGGTCCTCGCCGAGGACAAAGCATGCACACGTCCGAGCGATGCCAGGGGCCTTCGGCGGCCAAGAGACCGACGAGTCCGCGCCGCTGGGGCACTTTTTTACGTCGCAGCGCGGCAGATAGGCAGTCCGCACGCGCGCCCGTGCGAGACCCAGGGCACATCGTCGCGAGTGAACCCGCGCGCAACGCGGCAGAGGCAATCCGCACGCGCGCCCGTGCGAGACCCGGGGCACGTCGTCGCGAAGGAACCCGCACGCAAGAGGGAGGAGAGGGAGAGCTCGATGGGGCGGCCGCAAAGGAGGGGAGGGCAAAAGCGCGAGGGCACACGCCACGGGCGCCAGGGCACACGGGGAGCTCCGCCTAGATCGATGCTTACCAGCCTGGAACATATCCCTATCCCTATGCTGGGCATCTCCTCATCACGATGCCAATGTTAGGGATTCCCCTTTATTTTTTGAGGGCGCATCCCTAAGATTGTCATCGCCTTTTGGCGTGTCAATCTTAGGGATAGGGATACGTTCGAGGCTGGTAAGAAACTGCTGACGCGCTCATGCGCTTCTGCAAACTGCGCTCCGCCGATGGAGGGAGGACCCCCCCTCAGAACGTGCGGTGATACAGGAACGGCCACCCGCCTGTGCACAGGATCTCGCCACGGCCGCCTACCTGCTGCCAGCTGGAGAAGCCAGAGAAACAGTCGCGTAAGAGGCAAGAGGGGTCCTGGCAATTTCCTCCTCAACCTCCTCGTCCTTCTGCTCCTGGTCTGCATCCTCGAACTTACCGCCCTCCAAGGATTTGAGCCCTCCTTATTTATCCTTGTGCTGCCGCTGCTGCTGCTGATGCTGCTGCTCCTCCTTCGGGCGAAGCCCGATTTTCTTTCTCGCGAGGTAAACTGACTGGACTGGACTGGACAGGACTGGGCACTGGACTGAAGTGAACTGAACTGGACTGTACTGAGCTGAACTGACTGGTCGCACTCGATACGCGACGGTTTGATTCTCGGCGGCAGAGGGCGCAACCCATGGCGCAAGCGAAAGGAGATGGTGATATTCTCGTCCGCCGAGGGCGCTACCCACGGCGCAACCGAAAAGGGGATTATTTTAATATCGGCCGCCGAGGGCGCAACCTATGGCGCAACCGATCGGAGACGGTTTTGTTCTCGGCCGCCGAGGGCGCAACCTATGGCGCAACCGATCGGAGGCGGCTTTGTTCTCGGCAGCCGAGGGCGCAACCCATGGCGCAACCGAAAACAGATGGTTATATTCTCGGCCGCCGAGGGCGCTACCCATGGCGCAACCGAAAGGAGATGATTTTAATATCGGCCGCCGAAGGCGCAACCTATGGCGCAACCGATCGGAGACGGTTTTGTTCTCGGCCGCCGAGGGCGCAACCTGTGGCGCAACCAATAGGAGACAGCTTTGTCCTCGGCGGCCGAGGGCGCAACCTATGGCGCAACCAATAGGACACGGTCATATCCTCGGCGGCTGAGGGCGCAACCTATGGCGCAACCGATCGGAGACGGCCTGATTCTCGGTCGTCGAAGGTGCAACCTATGGTGCAAACAATCGGAAACGGTTTTATTTTCGGCGGCCGAGGGCGCAATCTAAGGCGCAACCGCTTGGAGACAGTGTTATTCTCGGCGGCCGAGGGCGCATCCGATGGCACAATCTACAGGAGAATGCTTTATTATCGGCCGCCGACGGGGCAACCTATGGCGCAACCGATCGGAGACTGTTTTATTCTCGACAGCCGAGGGCGCAACCTATGACGCAACCGCTAGGAGACGGTCTTATTCTCGGCCGCCGAGGGCGCAACCTATGGCGCAACCGAAAAGACACGGTCTTATTCTCGGCCGCCGAGGGCGCAACCTATGGCGCAACCAATAGGAGACGGACGGTCTTATTCTCGGCCGCCGAGGGCGCTACCCATGGCGCAACCAATAGGACACGGTCATATCCTCGGCGGCTGAGGGCGCAACCCATGGCGCAACCGATCGGAGACGGCCTGATTCTCGGCAGCCGAGGGCGCAACCTATGCGTGCCCCCTGGTACGACCAAGACGCCGCCAACGGCCTCACCGTGCCTGGGGGCCCGCGAGCAGTGCGGGGTCGAAGCCTGGGCATCCAAATGCGTGCGGGGCTACGCCCGATGTGTGCTCGCCGGTTGAGCTGGCGGCCGTCTTCGGATGTTAGGTTGTAGGCCTTGCCCGGTCGTGCTGCATCCCGGAAAACTACTGCAGTCCTGACCCCCCTGCCTGGCAACACTGGCCAGGGGTAAGAGGCTGGCCTGGCACGGGTTGGAGGAACGGGCAGACAGGTCCCGAGAAGATCAAAAAGGGAGCATGCGGACGAAGAGGAAACAGATGCCGACCACCGTGGCGGAGGGAGCAGGCGGAAAGGCGGGGGGGCGCGAGGAGGAGGGAGCATGACGAAGGATGAGAAAGGGGGGAGGATATGAACACAGAGAGGGAGGAGGGGGACGAGGGAGGACGGGGCAGCACCAAGGTCAGGGAAGAGAAGGGAGGCGGGGAGGCGGGCACACGCTGACACAGAGCACGACCCTTGGACCTGGCACGTTGGCGCCAGCGCCACGGATCGGAAAAAGGGCACCCGATCCAAACGCGAGGCCAGTGCCGCCCGATGTGGCGACGGAGCGCGCCGATTCTAGGTCCGTCGCTGATCCGCGCGCCTTCATCCATGTTTGCGCTTCCTCGGGGGAAGCAAAAGAGGAGGAGGAGGAGGAGGAGGAGGAGGAGGAGGAGGAGGAGGAGGAGGAGAGGAACGAGGTATATGAGAAAGAGGAGGAGAAGGAGGAGGAGGAGGAGGAGGAGGAGGAGGGCCAGGAGGAGGAGGAGGAGGAAGATAAAAAGGTACCCAGGGGCAAACACGTGAATACACACAGGTCCAAATATCCCCCATACATATACTTGTTTTAAGTACTGTCTGGATGTTCGTCTCCCCCTTCAGTTCCGATTGTTTCCCACATTTTCCTGTGGATGGACGAGTCATTGTGCCTATGTGTTCCCCCTCTCCAGAGGAGGAGGAGAAGGAGGAGGAGGAGGAAGAGGAGGAGGACGAGGAGGACGAGGAGGACGAGGAGGAGGAGGACGAGGAGGTGATGACTGCTACACCGGGATTGCCACGGCCTGAAAACACATGTTTAACTTCCGAAAGCCACCTGTTCGCAGGGGACGTCCCCACAATCTGGGCGCCAACGGGCAAGTGTCCGACCCTCTGGCGCCCTCCCTCCCTCCCTGGGGTACCCAAGTATTCGCTTTCTTCGTGGCGGCCATGACAAAAAACACGCCCACCTCCAAAAGACAGCGTCTCGTGTGAGATATCCCCGAATGCTGGGCGCCAACGGGCAAGTGTCCTACCACGTGGTCGCTCTCCCTTGTGGCGCCCCAGAGCTACGGTTGCGACATCGCAAACACCACGCGGCCCTGAAAAAGACGCGCCTGCATCCGTAAAACGAGCGAACCGCTGGAGACATCCCCACAATCTGGGAACGAACCGGTAAGTGACCTATCCCCTGGCGGCACCCCCTTGTGTTGCCCAAATGCTGTGCCTGTTGCATCGCGATGATTCTGATCGTGACATGGAGAAGGAGGGATGAGGAGGGAGTGAGTAGACGGAGGCGCGACACGGATAACCATAGTTCACGACGTAGGAGATGGGAATAAGCTCCGCAACATCCTCCACAAGACGTGCAACTACCTGCACAATGATCCATTATGACCGTCGGACCCTTGCTCCGCACGCGTTCGACGGAAACTGGCGGCAATCAAACTGGCCCAATCTGCTGGCACATCGCTTCGAATTTGACTTCCGTCAAACGTGCGTTTGATTCGTCCACGTCGTCCAGCCCCCCATCTGAACCAAAAACGCCGGTTTCAGCTGAGACATCCTCTCGACTCGCTCTTAAACCGGCCGCGACGTGCAGGTGACGCTGGCGGTGTGCTGCCCGCGCCGAGGCGAGAGCGCCGCTTGGTCGCCGCGGGGGCGGGGAAGGCCGTCTCGACGGCGCAGCCGCCCGTGCCCGCGGTGCGGCCGCACGGAGACAGCCATGTTGAAAGCCTCCCTGGTCGATGAGTCGGAACGGGCTCCGTTCCAGGGGCGAGCCCAGGGCTTTCCTTGGTTTGGCAAAAAGCTAGAGCCTCACCTGGCCGTGCCCACCCGGCAAATGGCCCTGCCAAGTGGTGGGCGATCTCCACCACGCTTTTGAAAAGATCGCGCCAGGGCTTTCTTTGGTTTGGCAAAAAGCTAGAGCCTCACCTGGCCGTGCCCACCCGGTAAATGGCCCTGCCAAGTGGTG